CTAACTAAAAGCATTTATAATGCATACCTGGAAAATATTCCAAAAAAAAGAAAAATTTTAAAGTTTTAAAAAAAGTTCAACAACTGAAAAATCAATATCAGTTGGAAAGAGCACTTTTAGGAGAAATGGAAAATAAATTTTTAGGTTTTCATTAATTTTAGGGTGAAAGTGAAAGAAGAAGCTTTTAGGAGAAAATCGATGGTAAATATTTTTTCCCATTGTAAGATGGAAATAACACCCAGAATTTGCTGATCAATGTGTGTATTCCAAACATGTAGAAGGCTCTCTTAAATAGATCATTATAAATGTTTTATTAGTTAAAAAGGTGTCCTTACCCTCATTTATTTTCTATCGTCAAGCAAAAAATTGCAGAACGGTGGTGGCAGCAATGCAGAGAGAATACTACAGACTTAGAAAAAGAGTGGAATCCAAAACTAGATTCTATATTTCTATAACCACAAGGGGTCTTACCTCCTCCCATCATATATAGACCCAGGAGATAAAAGCAAAACTGAGAAGAGAGCTGATGTGCTAAAATGGCTCTTAAAGAAGACTTGCAAACAGATAGATTCTGGGAGCATTCTTGCAAAAATTATCATCCTAGAAATATTTGCCAGATGGATATATATGGAAAAGGCCAAACAAAATTGAAATAATCACTGTACAGAGCATTCATTCAATTAATTCAATTATGCATTCATTCATTCAGATATTTGAGTTTCAATAACTTGTAAGCAAATAAGACATGTCCTCTGCTCTCACAGAGGAAGGGAGAATTAACATTTGCTGAGGGCAAACTACGGCCAGGTACTTTACATATCTTACATTAATTCTATGAGGCAGATTTTTTTTTTATCATTTCTCCTTTTATATATGAGGAAGCTGAACCTCACAGGGGTTAAACAGGTTGCTCAAGGTCACACGAATAGTTAAGTGGCTAAGGTAGGCTTCCAAACCCACTTTTTGTCTCCAAAGTCCATTATACAATGGTGCCTACAATCTAGCAAGGAAGCCAGAAACATACATAATTACCTTCAATACTGATCAGAGACTGTGATAAATATTCTAAAAGTATATGTGACTTGCTATGAGAGGATGGAGAAGGGAGGTGTTTATTCTGCCTGTCTCCAGGCAACCTCTGGGAAGGCTTCACAGAGGAGCAGGTATATGAACTAGGCCTTCAAGGTAAAGGGGGGAGAGCATTTAGGTAGAGACATGAAAGTGCATTGGGTGTTCAAGAAACAGCTGGAAACAGGTTTCTCATACTTGCTGCAGTCACATAGTTTTAAATGTTAGAATATTTGGCAGCAAACCTGAAGGGATAAAAACACTCCAAGCTGGCAACAATTACAGTACAATCAGTCCATTCTAGGGTTAATCACATGGGCTTTGGAGTTTGGCTACTGGGGTTTGAATCTAGGTTCTGCCACTTACCAGTTGCAAGAACTTTGGAAAATCATTTAAGCCTTGTTTGGTAAAATGGGAATAATCACCACTGAGCTATTTTAAAGAGTATATGAGTTGATACATGTAAACTGCTTGTTAAACTTATAAAACTGTATACAACACGTACTATACCAAACCTGTTGCCACTGAGCCGATTCCAACTCATAGCAACCCTATACAACAGAGCAGAATTGTGAGATAGGGTTTCCAAGGAGCAGCTGGTGGATTTGAACTGCTGACCTCTTGCTTAGCAGCCAAGCTCTTAATCACTGTGCGACCAGGGCTCCAACACATACTCTGCACTCCATAAATTAGCTGTTATGAATACTACATTATAATAGTATGTCAGAATATCTATAACAGCATTCAGTTATTGCAAGATTCTCTTGGTTGCCCTTCTGCATCATTGGCAGTGTTTGAATAGAACTGCACTGTACAGTTCTGACTAAGCTCTCCTATACACTCAGAAGGCATAGTTTCAGTAACATTCTCTTTCTTTCCTGCTGGCTTGCTGTTTTGTCTTTTATTCTCAACAAATCTCCTCTCAAAAAATAGAACCTCTTTCTATGCTGCATTGCAGGACCTATTGCTGGCAAAGTGGCTTACTGTACACTTTGGCAGATTTCACAGAATAACGTGGATGTTTAAGTGTAGCACAAAGATATTTTACCCATTTATCACTTCTGTAGCACATGTGGGGAGGGGTATATGGTGTGCCTTGGCCTAGGGATTGAGAACCAACTGTACATTGTATACTATGCTGGGCATAGGGAAGGGGACATAGGAGAAGAGAGAGTGGTAAGAGTTCAAGAAGCCAGTCAGGTTATGGTTAGATTGTAAAGGAATTTGAATGCTATGCAATGCTGAGGAGTTTGGTCTTGATTCTGTAGGAAATGGGGAATCATGGAAAAATAATGGAAGTAGGAGAGCAACATCAGATTTGGATGTTAGGAAGTTAGCTGGTGCAGTGCAGAGGACTGCTTTGCATACTCTTTGTCTGGCCAACTCTACATATCCTTCAAAACTCATTTTGTTTGGAAAGGCTTCTTGACCCCTTAAGCCTGATTTTGATGTCCTTCCTTGTGTTCCCATAGTATTATGTGCAGACATGTATCCTAATACTATATCATAATTATTTATTTTAATTGGTTGTCTTCACTACCAGATTGTAAACTGCCTGAGATCAGGGACCACATCTTATCTTTGTATCCCCAATATCTAGTGCAGTACTGGGCACACAGCAGGTTGTCTATAAATACCTGTGGAATTAAGTAACTAATAAATTAATAGAAGAACCCAAGGCAAGGAAATTATCTGTAAGACTATTAATATAACAGTTCATTAGCAGAACATCCACCTGGAACTCACATCATATTATCTTATTGACAAAAGCTGATAAAAATTAATAATAGTTTTACTCTTTAATTTTTTATTTCTATTTACTTTCTAAAATGAAAGGTAAATTCCAAAAGTATGGTAAAAGTCAACTTTTAATCATTTTTAATTCACTGAAAATCAGGCTTTTTCCCCTCCTAAAAAGTCCTGGTACAAGTATACAGTACTTAATATCTTAAAGAGAGAAGAAAATGCTGACTATTTCAAATCACTTAATTTGTAGTCCGCAAAATGAATTAATGTGATCAGCAAACTCAAATGCATTGTTCTGTAATTTATGTAAAATTCCGGATAAACCTTTCAGAGTTTGCAGTATATCCAATGATTGGACATTAGGCCAAAATGGATCCTCCATCTTTGCTTTTATAGTACAGAAACAGTTATAGAATGGAATTTATCCATTAACCAAATGAGATGGTTCTATAAATCACTGTATTAATTGCTGATATAGGCTTTGCCTATATCATGAAAAGCAAACAAAAGATGTTGCCAAAAAGAGACGGATTCAGGTGATTTGACTACACCAATGTGTTTAATTTCAGCTTTTAGTGAAAATGGTTCTAGCGGACAGACTCATTCCTCTGACCATTTAATTTTGACCTATTAAGACAGTTAACTCTATTTGATTTTTCAGGTTCTTACAGTATTTCTTTTCTTGGAATGTTGTATATGGTTTTGGGCCTTATTGGATGGAAAGCATGTGAAATCTGTCTTTCCCCATTTTCCTATGATCCTGTTGTTCCTACGAATCCTTGGGATTTTGCAAAGACAGAATAGCCAATGTTCAAACTCCAAGGAAGCACTTGTTAGCCATCTCCAAGCAGTTATAGATCCAAGCAGTAACTAGGACTAGCTAACCAGAAGACTCAGAACCCCTTGGGCTGATGCTAAGTCATTTAGCTCCTGGGTCTTCTAGATGAAAGAGTTTATAGGTTAGAGAGCACTCCCACAGGATTGCAGCAGAGATCATGAAGCTTTGGGGGCATTCATAATTTCAATATGAAGCAAGACAGAAGTTGGAAGATTTATTTATTGCCAGAAATTGGCAGATTGATTTATTGCTCTTTTGAGCCAGAATACTTCCAGTAACATTATTAATATTTGTAAAGCGCTTTATGGTTCACAAAACACACATATTAGATCCTCACAAGATCCTTACCATACCCAGGTGACACAGCAAAGACAGGTACTATATGCTCATGTTTTTTTTCCATATGCTCATTTTAAAGGAGAAGAAACTGAAGTTCAGAGAAATCCAGCATGTATTAAATAATTAAAAGAGCTGGGACTCAAATCTAGGTATTTTTTACTCTAAATACTATGCTCTTTCAACTATACCCTGTAGACAGATTTATATGTTGTCATCATCTTCACAGACAAGATTCTCAGTTAATAAACCAGCATGATTGTATAGATTTGGCTACCAACTCATTTATGTGTTTGCTGTAGCTAATTCATTATTTTACTACTTTACAGTTATTTAAAGGAGCCCTGGTTGTGCAACGGTTAAGCACTTGGCTGCTAACCGAAATGGGGGCTTTGCTGGAGAAAAGACCTGGTGATCTGCTCCCATAAAGACTCCAGAACCAAAACCAAAACCAAATCCACTGCCGTGGAGTCAATTCTGACTCACAGTGACCCTATAGGACAGAATAGAACTGCCCCATAGGGTTTCTAAAGCTGTAATCTTTATGTAAGCAGACTGCTGCATGTCTCTCCATGGAGCTCCTGGTGGGTTTGAACTCCCAACACTTCGGTTAGCAGCAGAGCGTTTAACCACTGTGCCACCAGGACTCCCTCATAAAGATTACTGACTAGGAAACCCTCTGGGGCAGTTTTACTCTGCCCTATAGAGTTGCTATGAGTCAGAATTGACTCAGCAGCACATAATAACAACATAGTTAATTAAGATTGAAAGCTTAAATTGATAGTTTATTTCCTAATGATTGATAAAGTTACATCTAATAATCTAAGTGTTAATTTAGAACTACTCTCTAAATGCAGATATACAAATCAGTAATAGAAATTAATTAAAATTCTAGTTGGTCAAGCTAACACACTAGAAATAGAAAATTTTCATATACATATGGTAAGAAAAGAATTGAGATTATTCAGGAAATGTTATGAAGATCAGATGACCTTCTGCAATATTGGCCTACCTTTTGGAGATACTTTAGTTTCTCCTCCGATTCCTGAATCTTTAGGACTTCCTCAACTTCTGTGCCCTCTAAAAGAAATAAAATCAAATTGAATTCGAAATAACTTTATCATGATTTTACAATAATCTTGATATAGGTAATAGACTAGGAGGGTAAACACGACTCTACACTGTGCCTTGAAAGTTTACAAGCTAGATTCATACAGAAGTGGAGGTTGAATTAATTAGCTAAGGCTGCAGGGAACCTCTAATTTCCAGAAGATGAGTAAACCTGAGTCCAGAGACAAGGAAAGGTCTGTAAGGAGAACATATCTGAAAGAATCATAGATTCCATTTCCACATTCCTATTCAAAGTGTTTAGGAATTCAGGCACTGTCCTCTGAATAAATAGGGTAGTCACTGAGGCAGGATTGGGTATGCAATTCAGATCGTTACACAGAAGTGTAAAGTTGTATCCTTACACATATTACTTGTTTTCTGAAGAACCTGAGTCAGGGATGTTGAAAGGCAGAAAACTTGATACTTACTGTTATTCTCAGGGGGAGAACGCTGGAAGTGACATTTCTCTAAAAAATAAAAATGGGAAGTAAAGAAATCATTGGAAAAGGCCGTAACATTAAAGAATTTGAATTTTGTATACCTGTTAAAATTGTATAATAACAGTTTCCACATCCTAGGCCTCGCTATGGGCTTGCTGGCCAGGAAATTTTTTTCCTAATGTTGACCTTGCCTTCAACTTTCTCTAGGGTTTTCATGTTTGAACTCAGTTATGTAAATTACTATCCTTAATATCCTTTCAGTCAACAGCTAACTTTCCTCTAGATTATTCTATGTTGTTTGGCCAAAAAGATGCCATAACTTTAAGATGTACTTTTAGATGTAAGAAAGATACTACCGATCCTTATCGGTTGGAAGGATTGCTGGGAAGGTTTAGGAACTATTTGCATAGTGTCTTAAACATTTGAAAGAAAAGATTCTCATTTTAGAATTGTTTGTTGTTGTGTGCGATTCCGAGTCCTAGCTACCCTATACGACAGAGTAGAACTGTCCCATACGGTTTCCTAGGCTGTAATTTTTACTGCCTCATAGAGTTTCCGAGGCTGTAATCTCTATGGAAGCAGATTGCCAGGTCTTTTCTCCTACAGGAGCCGCTGGGGGGGTTCCAACTGCCGGCTTTTCGGTTAGCAGCCCAGCGCTTAATCATTGTGCCACTGCTATACCCCACGTTGGTTACGGTACAAGCAGAAAGCAGAAATCATCGACAGGAGGCAGCAACTCACCTGCCACGTTGCACCCAGAGGGCCGCGCCACGGGCAGACGCTGCCTGCTATCTCTGGACAGCACCAACTGAGATTCATTAGGAGGATACAACGACGCCGAGATCCAGAACTGCTTGGCCAAGTTTACGTCCTGTTCCGAGGAGCCGACAAACACCAGTGGTCCGTGCGGAGAAATTTCATCCGACTCCTTTAGGCTGCTGGGAGTTCCTCTGGGCCCCGTCTCCATGGCAACTCAGGACGCTTCTCCAAACTCTCTCTTCCCTCCCACAGGCCCGCCCCTCGGAGAACTGCCCAGTTGGTAGCAATAACAGGCGGAAGCCCTTATTTCTCCGTAGGTGTTGGGATCTAGCGCGCGCTTTTGTACGATCTGAAGCCCACTTCTGCGGTGATCAGAGGCTTCGGGACCAGTCCAAGCCTTAGAGTTGAGAATAGTCAAAACATCAACTTTGGGGGCGTGTCCTGTCCTGTTGGAGTCAGTGGGCGAGCAGTTTAGCCCTCACATCCTCAATCTGCTCTCCACCTCCCAAACTCCCTCCCCACAAACGAAATCCAAAACTTTACTTTGCCCCACCGCCCCAATCTCCTCTTCCAGACTAGATTGCCAAGGCTCAACATCTCCTATGTGGAAATTCTGGCGCCTGCGTTGGCTGGAGAATTCAGGACAGCGGCTAAGATCTTAGCCCATAGGAGAGCTAGAGGTATGAACTCGGCGGATAGGTACTCATGTTTACAGGGTTTGTGATATTCTTTTTCTTCCAAATCATTGAAGACAAACCCTACGAAATAAGCTTGATTTAGATCGTAACTCCATCTGCTAGTCATTTTCACTAAAAGCTGCCTAGAATGCAACAGTTGGAAGGATTACTAAAAGGAATATATCAGAGTGGATCAAATCCCATCATGAAAAATAAGTTTTGAAGAATTTTGTTAATATAGTCTTATCAAAATATAAACAAATATATAGCTTCCCTGGGAGGTTTTGTTAACCTAGGAACAATAACCATTTCAGCAACATAAGTTTTAATTACTGTGATAGGAACTCAGATGGACATAGCAACGCCAGTTTAAGAAATGGACACACAGTAATAACCATAATTTATGTCTCAGTGGCACTTTATTCTTTCAGAGCATTATTAACAATATCGTCTCACAGAAAGACAGTTCAAAAGTTGATAATCACAAGATTATATAATGACATATATTAGTTAAGGAAAAAATCCCAATTTTCCGATGTTAAAACAAAAAAAACCCAAATCCCTTGACGTCGAGTCGATTCCGACTCATAGCGATCCTATAGGACAGAGTAGAACTTCTCCATAGGGTTTCCAAGGAGTGGCTGGTGGATTTGAACTGGCAGCCTTTTGGTTAGCAGCCGAGCTCTTAGCCACTGCACCACCAGGGCTCCAATATGTTAACGTATCTAAAAATTTTTGGTTAAGCGTCTGAAGGAATAATGGACACTTACACCTCTCTCATACATTGTTTTAGCAGATAAAATGATTTCTCTCTTCGTTGAGCTATTGATAAATAGGCAATGGATAATATTAGCATCTACCAATCCACCCTCCACCCTCAAACACACTGATGTTGCGTAAGCAGTTCATTTGGATGAATTATCAAATCTTTTTACCTGGCTGTGTGGTTAGTGATTGGTACTGTTAGCAATCAGCTAACTACACTGCCTAGTAACTAGACTCACAGAGAAGTAATTTCTATCAAAAACTGCAGTCTTAAAAGTGATGCTTCCATAAGTTTTGACAGGCAAATCATTGGTTTAGTAGCTTAGTCGATAGGTTTGTGACTGGCCTGTTAAATAATGAGAAATAAGCACAATGAATCTCGGCATACAGTTTTAAACGTTATATAGTGGGCTCCTCCCAAAAGTTGAAATGCCTTTATATAAATATCTTAAAGTCATGAAACCCCACAAATTTTGCTTTCATCATATGAGATTGTACAATCTTACTCACAGAGATAGCTAACAATTTAACTCTATCTAGAAAAATAAGCCTGAGTTTCCATCTACTTTGGCAACCTGCCCTCGCTTAGTAGCGCTACTGGGGCAAATGCTGACGCATCAAAACTCCAAGCGCAGCTTTCTCAAACGCCTGGAGTCGGGCGCCGAGGGGGCGTTTGCTGCCGAAGGTGGCGTCTTCCTCCCGGCGGGGCGGCGAGTGATGCTGTGCCTTGTTTTGATGGCAGTGGAGTTAGTGATTGTAAGCACCAGAGTACAATCAGCTAATTACACTGCCTACAAACCGAGCACCGGGCGCCCGCGGGCTGCAGCTCCCGGACGGTCCGCAGCGCCGACACGGTGTCTCCAAGGGGTCAGGGCCCGACTCTGCCCCACATTTCACCGAGGGTGAAGCTCGACTGGGCTCGGGCGCGAGGCCCAGGGCGAGGGGCTTCCTGGCCCCCGGAGGACGCTCCCGGGCCCAACGGGCATCCTCACCCGGCCGGCGCGGGCTGCGCTGGCCCCCGCCGGACTCGCCGCGTAGCTACGGCCAGGGGGCGGCGCTGCCGGCGGGGACCTGCATCCCCCAGGCCCGCGCACTCCAACCCCAGGTGACCCTGGGAGCTCCCGGCCGGCCGGCTTCACCTCAGTGGCCGGAGCCCCCACGCCCTGCCTCCTTCCCCTCGGTCTTCCCCATCTTCGAGGTCCCTCCCCCTCAGGTTCCCTTCCCCTTTCCTTTCCTCCTCGCTTTCTCGGGCCCGACTCCCACCTCCCGGTCCCTCTGCTCAGAAACCTTCTCTTCAGTTCCCAGCCCAAACCCTAGAGCCTGGTCTCTCAGCCCTGTGCTCCCCGCAGCTCCAAATGGCCGAGTGACCGTGGCCGTGGCCAGCCAACCGCCTTTGGAACCCCGTGGGCGGAGGGGCGGGGCGCGGCGGGCGGGGGGAGGGGCGGGGTGGGGGAGGGGAGGGAGCTGCGGGAAGGGGTAGAGGGTGGCCCCTGGAGGGCCTCGAGGAAAGAGGCATTGGAGACTGAGGCACAGATTCTTGAGTAGTTTCTCTCCTGACAGAGCTGGAGGGGCAAAAAGTCCTCTCCTCCCCCTTCCCCAAGAAACGAGGCAGGCCCATCCTGTTTTCATGCCCATTCCATTCAGGGAAAACAGATTTCCAGATACCTCAAATTGTAGGCCAGGTTTTTCAAAGGGAGGTAGGCCTGGGTAGCCTCTGACAAGTGGGAAGACTGCCTATTGAGAGTCCCATCTGTGCCAGTGCGTTCCCTTGGGAATTGGCCTTATACTTCTGGAGGGCATGCAGTGAGGCGAAAGGCTGGATCTTCTAGTCACATCAAGAGCCAGCCAACTCCTTAGTTAAGCTCAAAGTGTGGTCCTCTTGAGATCAAAGCCACAGTTTTGAACTTTCAAGGTCAGCTTTAGGTAAAATTATTCCTACTTCCAGCACATATTTATTTAAATACCTGCTGTGTGTTCAGCAGCTAAGAAGTATAAGGCACGGCCATTCTGCCCTCCAAATGTACATTCTAGGTGTAACACAAAGTGAACAAGTGTTATTTACCATTCCAGACTGTATATAACAAATCACTAAACTGTGCAGACTTTACTGCTAGAAATAGAAGCAGGGGAGAGATCAGTTAAGGAAGGTTCATGGAGGAGGTGAGACAAGTAGGGCCTGAAGCAAGAGCAAACTTGGCTATTTAGGGCAAGGGTGGTGGAGATCAGAGAAAGTGACTTGTGAAGAGTTACATATTCCTATTCTCAGAATTTCATTTCTAAAGGCGTAGATGTGTTTATGTGTGTATTTGGATCAGACAAAGGAGGCAGTTACAGAAGACTACTGGGACACCTCTACTAATAATTCTTTCCTTTAGTTACTCTTTCCTCTCTCTTCCTTCAGTGAATGAATCAGGAGAAGAAAAGGAACGTGGTCTGATTACACACTTTGTGGAACTCAGTTGGTAGGAGACTCCCTAGAATATAATCTTCCTACAGTCACTGTTGACCCAGAAGGCTAGTTTTCCACAAGGAAAACTTTGCAGCTGTAGATTGACTTCCTAAACCCAGCAAATGGCTTCATGGATGCCACTAGTAACATGGGTAGGTAACCTGGATCATTCAACACAAATTCCAAAGTCACACTGTTAAACACCTGAAGTACCTCCCAAGGATGAGTTTGAGTGATTTATCTTTGTTTATGAAAGCACATTTCTGCGAGGTGTATGGTTTGCTTTGTGAACACCAAAGTGAAGAGTAACAAACCAAAGTGAAGTATAAATCACTCACACTCATTAAAATGTATAGTATACCAAGCCATACCAGGCAACATGCTGAAATCAGAGCTAATTAGCCTCTGGGCCACCTCGAGATAACTGCAGAGACAACTTTGTAATTTTATATTTATATAAACATGAAAAATCAGGAGTGAAATAGCCTCTATTCCATTAACAAGTATGCAGACTTATAAAATCTCTTAGGTTTAGGACATAGTTATTAGAAACAGTTCTGTTATGTCAAATTGTTAGTCATTTTTACCTAATTCAATATTTAATACTTTTTCCTAATTGATGTTTGACGATTATTAGTTGATCTTAGATGTCTTACCTGAATTGGATTGCTGCCCTCCAAGGCAGTGGTTGAGGTAGATGCCTTGACAAATTAGATTTTTAAAACGTTTCTTCAAAGGTAATTAAAAAAAAAAAAGCATACAAACGCATACATAAAAGTCTTCAAGATACATTGCCTACTGAAATAATTTTTTAAAATGCAGTTTATTTAGCAAGTAATACAACTAAAAAATTAAAATAATGACAAAAAAGTGTGTGGCCTAGTTCTGTTCACATTGAAAGAAAGATAAAAAAAAAAAAGAATGACTGCTTGTTCTTATGGTTGCTGTTGATTTGGCCCGCAGTTACTAGAGAAACTCCAAGGGCCTCGTTTCCCTTTATGGTTCATGTCTAGGCATGCCTGGAGACCAGGGAGACCCACAATTTAATCTAAGTAAGAATGCTTGTGGTGTTTTAAATGCCCAAACAGAAGATTGCATTTGTTTTAGACAGCACCAGGAAGGCACCTTTCAGGGGAATTGTTTACAGTTTTAATTTATGGGCTTTTGGTCACTGGGGAGACTGGGGGAGAGGAGGGATAAGGAGAGGAGGTAAGGTTGGAGATTAGGAGGAAACCACGAAGAGTATGGAAAACAAATACCTCCTGCTTCAGATTTGGCAAATTTATATCGTCTTAATTTACCACGCCTAGATAAAAA